TCTTCAATGAATTCCATCTTAACAGCAGGATCAAGAAAGGCCTGAATTCTACCTTCTTAACCCTGATTCCAAAAATTCCAAACCCATCTTCTTTATCTGATTACAGACCCATCAGTTTGTTAGGCTGTATTTATAAGGTTCTAGCCATGGTCTTATCAAGTAGATTGAAATCGGTTTTGCCAAATTTGATCGATGAAACTCAATCAGCTTTTGTAAAAGGGAGGCAAATCTTGGATGGTATTCTCATCGCCAATGAAGTTGTTGATTTGTGGAAGCGCAACTCTTCAGGTGGGCTTCTTCTCAAATTGGATTTTCAGAAGGCTTTTGATAGTGTCAATTGGAACTTTCTTTTTCATATTCTTCAAAATTTCGGTTTTGGTGAAAAGTGGATCTCTTGGGTTAAGGAATGTGTTTCTTCCCCTCATATTTCTGTTTTGGTGAATGGATCCCCCTCTCAAGAATTTCCCCCTCAGAGAGGCTTAAGGCAAGGTGACCCTCTCTCCCCCTTTCTCTTTAATCTTGTGGTTGAAGGGCTAAATTTTCTCATCCAAAGAGCCAAAAATCTCAATCTTATCAAGGGAGTGGATATCGGTGGCTCGGGGTTGAACCTTTCACATCTGCAATTCGCAGATGACACTCTTATGTTCTGCAATCCAGATTGGGATGAGATAATAAATCTGAAAAGAATTCTCAGTTGCTTCGAGTTAATTTCCGGACTGAAGATTAATTACCAAAAGTCTGTAATTTGTGGAGTTGGGGTTAACAGGGACTTCACCTCTCAAGTAGCCGAATTCTTCAACTGCAGGGTGAGCTCGTTACCAATCAATTATCTTGGAATGCCTCTAGGGGCCAACCCAAAAAGACTGTCTACTTGGGAGCCTATCATAAACAAAGTGAAGAAAAGACTAGCCTCATGGAAGAAGAGGTATCTTTCTCTTGGAGGGAGAATCACTTTGATTAAATCTGTACTTTCTTCACTTCCAATCTATTATATGTCCCTTTTCAAAATTCCTACCCAAGTGGCAAACCTTATTGATAAATATCAGAGATCCTTTTTATGGGGGGATAGTGATGCCAAAAGGAAATTACATCTTCTCAACTGGGAGGCATGCTCTGTTAGCAAACACTTTGGAGGTTTGGGCTTCAGAAAGACTAAGGAAGGCAATGATACTCTCCTATGCAAATGGTGGTGGAGATTCGCCACCGAAAAAAGTTCCTTGTGGAGGAAAGTTCTTTGTGCCAAAAACAATGTGAACGAAGACTGTTGGTTACCAAATGGTTCAAGCTTCAGATTTTCATCTGCAGTGTGGAAAAGTATCTCAACTATGGAAAGGTATGGATCTAGAGCAATTGCATTATTTTTGGAAAATATTCAGTTCAAGCTAGGGGATGGTAAAAGAATTAAATTTTGGTTGGATACTTGGGTCTCATGTACTCCTTTGGCCAACCTCTATCCTAGACTTTTCTCTCTAGCTACAAGCAAAGATTCATTCGTCCACCAGTATTTGTATCAGGCTGCGGATAATCAAACTCATTGGAATATCTCATATAGGAGAACCCTGAGAGCTTGGGAAGATGAGTTGCATCTTGAGCTGATTAGTAGACTGCCAAAACCTCTCAGCATTAATAACAATTGTGTGGATCATCTGTTATGGACTCCTTTCCCATCAGGCTCTTTTACAGTTAAATCTCTTTATGAAATTTTTGAAAATTCTCTTCGTTTAACCCCTTTTCTGATTATGAAGATGTGAAAATCAGCAGCCCCTCCCAAAATTAAAGCTTTTGGTTGGCTTGTTTGGTGGAATCGAATCGCCTCTTCGGATCTCCTTGCTCGCAGGCTCATTATCCCCGCAATCAATCACTGTGCATTCTGCGGTATTGATAACGAATCTGCTTTGCATTTGCTCTTGCATTGTAATTTTGCTTGGAAGGTTTGGGCTGAAATTATTTGTTGGTGGGGCTCCCAATGGGTCTCCCATAGTTCCTTACAAGACTTGTTTTTATGGTGGTATGGTCAAAAGTACAAAAACCTGGTAAACTCATCTGGGAAGTAATTCCATTGGCTGTGGTTTGGAGTTTATGGATTGCAAGAAACAACATGG